AAGGCGACTGTCCATCAAAAGTTGGTGGTTTCACGGAAGAACCCGATGTGGCAACTCTGTCACGGCGATCTTGACTTCGTAGCGAGGTGATCTGATTCGCTACATTTCTTTCGATTGCATCGAGCATGGAATCTATTCTTGAAACTTCCTGGTTAAGCTTGTCATCAATTCTGGTGACATCTGTCTTTAACTCATCCATTTGTTTATTAGTTTTATGCAGAATTTGTTCGAAGAAGATTTTCTGATGTTCTCGTTCTTTTTCTTGATGTTCTAGAATTTTCTGTAACTCTTCTTGACGACGTTTCTCATCTTCCTGTCGTCGTGTCTCTAGTTCTGCGAACTGATTTTTCATGAATTTTATAATGTCTTCCATCGTGTCGTATGACGTACTCCTTGTATTCACCATACGTATTCAAATGTCCTCGGAAATCCACACTTCTGACACCACTGCTACGATTTTTTACTCTGGGTCCGTAATAATTTAACACTCGGTAGAACACTTAAAACGATTTATTCTGAACACTACTATACAATAATAACAATACTCGTACTAAACACTTCCGATTCACAACACTTCTTCGATCGTTATTACAACGCTTCCAAATAAAGACTTCCCTCCTGTCCCTAACAACATCTATTTATATTACCTAATAAAACGTCTAGATTCCACTCGAAATATCGTGAACAGGTCGATAATCTTCTCGAGTCATCTCAATAGCCGTCGAATCACCTAATTACTATTCCAAGAAATATGGCTTGTTTACATTCCGCTCCCGCAGGTAGCTGGGATCGATTGCCAGGGTCGTAACAGTATGTATCATTTTACATAAATATATTTATTTGGGTTCAGCCAGTCAGCAGTTGTTCCGGTGTTTGTAGGCCAATCAACTCAAAAAGGGACAGTGTTTGTAGATGCTTTCAGTCAAGATTGGAATTCACAGCATGGCATGGGGAATTCCGGTGGAAACTTCCCACCACCACCACCAATACCCAGAGTATTTCAAAACTTGAAAAGTGCCAAATGAGTTCATATAGTAGTAGCTTCGATGTGGCTGCAAGTTTTCTGGGGACCAGACCTCAAATCAAGATCGATCGGTACCCCATATTTAATTCGCAATCTAGAAAACATTCTGATAGATTCTGTAGAATTTTCAGTTTCAGTCAGAATTCTACACCACCCTGTATTTGTTTCAATTAAATACGAGTAAACAGTAAATCAAAAGTTAAGATCTGGACATGTAATCCGTTTTGACCAATAATGAATAGTTTTGACACAAAAAATTCCCCAAAAATGAAAAATCTCGATTTTCCACACCCTATATCTCGGAAATCATTCCCGCTAGACCCCAAGTGTGCTAGGTCGTTGAATTCAGCTCATCAAGGAGAATATGAAAATGCAATGAAATACAGGGTGTTCCATTTGAAAAAATTGATGTTCGATTTTGTGAGCCTTTCTTGCGCCCCTCGTATAAAATATAGTCATTCCTGAAGTTAGCACTCATAATGCGATATGATGTGAAATCATAATATTTTGAAAATTCCTATTGGTTCAGGAGATATTCAACTGTCCCACTGGTCTAGGGACACACTGTATATAGGTAATTTTTATGTAATCAACAGTAAACATCCTCACAGTACGCTAACATAATAGCCGGCAGAAATCAAACACTTGTCAAATGAGTCAAGAGGAAGCAGAAACACGGAATTGAAGTGTTTTCCCTGGAGGGATAAAAACTATTATTTCGAGTCTTGTTGAAGCTTGACCCATTGAATGAAAACCTTGCCTACTTCATCTTAAAACATACGCTCTGGCCGGCTAAGATCACCAAGGAGATGTTACAGGTGATGAACTCTCGATGCTGTCACCTGACAGGTGAGTGATAGGTCGAGCTTCATCAAGACTCGAAATAATAGTTTCTATTCTTTCAGGAGAAAAACTCTTCTATTTTATGGAGAGAGTTCACATGAACATGTGCCTAACTTATTTCGTTTTTGAGATACAGAATTTTGGAGTTGGAAGTATCAATTATTGCTTTTAATGATTTATCAAACACAGTGACTCAAGAGCAAAAAGCTTATTTCACTCATCAATTTGAAATAGCTGATCGTAAGACATTTTGGAAAGCACTCAAAACAAATAATATTATACCTAACAAAACTTATTCACTGCCTGAGTTTTTGAAAAATGTCGATGAAATAAACGAATTTTTCATCAACTCAGTACCACAAAAGAATCCACCACTTGAATTACTGAATTTTTATGAAACCAACTGCCAAATCCAATCAGATTCATTTCACTTCTCTGAGTTGAATGACTTATTTGTTTATGAAACTATATGCAATATAAAAAGTAATGCTAAAGGAGTTGATGAGTTGAATTTAAACATAATAAAACTTTGTTGTCCTCATATCATTCCTTATATAACACATATAATTAATTTTTGTTTAACAAATAGTGTTATACCTGAAATTTGGAAAATAGCAGTGGTACAAGTTTTGCCTAAAAAATCTGATCCAGTGGAATTTGAAGATCTTCGAGCTATAAGTATACTGCCCACCTTATCAAAAGTGTTAGAGAGAGCCATTGAAACCCAACTGAAAAATCACATTGAGCATTACTCTCTACTACCTGAAATTCAATCAGGCTTCCGAAAAGGTTATAGTTGTACCACTGCTCTACTCCATGTTGTGGATGACATCATTAGAGCCAAGGACCAAGGTATGCATACAGTTTTAGTTCTATTCAGTCGTGCATTCGACACTATAAATCATGAATTAATGTTAGCTATCCTGCACTATCTTGGAATGTCAATGTCTGCAGTAGAGTTATTCAAAAATTATTTATATACTCGCAAACAAAAAGTTCATATAGAAAATGTTCATTCAGAAAGTATGATTCTCAAATCTGGAGTACCGCAGGGTTCCATATTAGGACCACTTCTTTTTTCTATATATACTTCTACAATGTTGAAATCACTTAAACATTGCTCTATTCACTGTTACGCCGATGATACACAGATTTATTACAGTTTTAATGTAAATGATGTGGAAAATGCTAATAGTTTCATCAATGAAGACCTTCACAATTTCATACAGAAGGCATCGGAACATTGTCTATACATCAATCCTAGTAAGTCAAAAGTTATGATTTTTGCAGGAAGGAATTCCCTAAATCCACATGATATCACAATAAATTTGAATGATGAAACACTTGCTATAGTAGAACATACAAGAAATCTTGGAGTAGAAATAGACTCTAAATTGAGATTCGACAAACATGTGAATAAGCTCATTCAAAGAGCTCACATGTCTTTGGAAACCTTGTATGGTGCAAGGCATTTTCTATCATCGAATATAAAATTATTATTGTGTGAGATGATGGTATTATCAATATTCAACTTTTGTGATTCTCTTTATGGTCCAAATATTACTCAGATATACAGTGCAAAAATACAAAAAGTACAAAATTCTTGTTTGAGACTTATATACGGTGTGCGAAAACGCGAGAGGATCACTAATAAACTAATTCCGGCTGGGTGGTTGAACATGGAGAAAAGAAGATTTCTTCATTCTGCTTGCCTGTTTCATAAAATTGTTCTGAGCAAAAAGCCATGTTATTTACATCGAAAAATAACTTTTCGTTCGGACGTGCACAATTTGAACATAAGGTTCAGAGGTACCCTTACACCACCAAAATTTAAAACTGAATTTTTCAAACGTTCATTCTCTTATCAGATATGCAATATTTATAATTCTCTACCCACAGACATGAAAAAGCAATCATTGGAAAAGTTCAAATCAAAACTTAAAGAATATATCTTTTCCCAACAGTAGATATACTTATATAATTATCTTCTACAATTCCGATAGTTCATTCTTGGAAGGTTTCTGCGATCAAATTCTTAGCAACATATTTTTTTTTCTTATTTTTTTATACTCCTCGCTCAGTGCAGTACTACCAGGGTTGAGTGGAAGAGCAATTTACTAGAGATTTGATCTTGACATAAATTGAACTCCGCCCTTTTCTTTCATAAGCTTGAAAAACAACATGTAAAAATGTGAATTACCTATATTAGAAAGAAATAAAGACGATTATTATTATTATTATTATTATTATTATTATTATTAAATTTGTTTTATAGCCGTAAAAAAAGTTTATTACGATTCTGAATTATTCAGTCCGAATTTGAAATTGTAGTAGGGGCGTTCTCGGATTATAGCCACCCTCGCCCATCAACTATATTCCTGTCGTTCATTACGTGTCTTCGCTGAACAATCAGAGAACGCCATTTTGTTCGAGGCCCAACCCATTTCCAAATAGGAGACAATTCAAAAGTCAGACAGTCCGCAAGTATTTGCAAAACACATGATTTTATTGATATAATTGAATCAAAAAAGCTCGTCTGTGTGGAAGCTTAATTTTTTCATACAGGGGTTCCCAAGGAATTCGTATAAACCTTAATTTTTTTCGTACTTTTGACACCTTGTATCTCAGAGAGGATGCATTTTAGGGCATACGTTGATAGGAACTTTTCACCTCAAAATGAGGTTAGGATTTCGTATTCGTAGTTTGAAGATCTTATTCTGAATCACCCTAAATATGTCAGATTCACCTATATGACTCATGTAATTTTTTCTATTGCCATCACTTCACTGTAGAATCAACTGTATCCGACGATACTATAATGAAGAACAAAAAGACAAATGGCACAGTTGTATTCAGCAAGTTCAAATAAAATCGTTTCTGAACTAACCGAAAGTTGAAATGAGTTGTTTTATCTGTGAAAAAAATGCAATTCCTAATCCCATACATATTTATCGAATTTTGTTATCATATCTTCGGGTACAAAAAGTATAGGGGCGATCCATCCAACTAGCACATCTGTTGAAAAATAACTCAGAAATTCGGTAATCATAAAAGTATAAAATTACACTAAGAAAGCGTGAACTTAAAACTAGATAAATGCAGCATGCATAAAAAGAAAAAGCAAAACAAATACCTTGCAAACAAAAGCCACTGAAAGCATATTTACACATTAATAAAATTGACCCAAGCTTTCCCATTCGGTGCATTCCTATCTTCTACTGGATTCATAGCTTCTTCCCTCTCAACATTAACATCCAACAAATTATCAGAATTGTCCAGATTATTCAAGGCATCCTTGAAATTATTTGATGACTTTTCATTCAATTGCAATAAATCACTGCCATTTGTATCATTTATCATTCGTGAAAAAAAATTATCAGGTCTTCTGCTAATATCTTGGCTGTCTCCAAAAATATAAGGTTTCCTGTAAAATAATATTTTTGCTTGCTGATCACATTCATCTCTCTCGTCAAAGTAAAAGTTTCTTGGTCCTGCATTTTGGGAGTTCGACTTTATAAAACGTCCTTCCGTAGTTGAATTGTGAGGTACGCTCACTTGTTCATTTATACTCCAGGGATCGATGTCCCTTTCTCTTAACTGATTTTCTAGAATCACATCGTTATAAATGTTGTCTTCTTTTAGGTTCAAAAGGCTTTCAAACCTTTTCTTAATCATCTCATGTTCTACAATAGAATTTCTATATTCACTCTCCAATCTTCTTCTGTATTCCATTTCAGGAATAAAATTTGGGCCTGCTTCATGATTTTGTAGCAAAATTACGTCTGGTAGACCATAATGAGGATTTGTTTCAACACCAACAATGTTTGGAATATACCTGACATGTCTTTGCAGAGACCCGAAATAAGGATTGTGCTGTAGTGGTGGCAGTTCTGACAATTGAATTTCTGGTGTAATGTGAGAGGGTAGGTTCTGTGTCGTTCTTGGAATATTATATGGCAGATGATGTCTAGAATGAGTGAGAAAGAATAATGAGGCATTTTATGTGTGTGTTAAGGGTTAAAAATGGAAAGGTTTGGATACATTATGTTTGCCAAAAAAATACACAAAAGCTGTATGAGGGGAAAAAACGATATTTGAATAATAAAGTATTACTCTCAATGGGAGTAAACCAATATTATCATCCCAAAGACATGCCATCACTGCTTTTTGTGTCACATTTTTGAAGTATCTATCAAGAGACATCTGATCTAGAGGAACTTAACTGATCAACAAAAGGTGGGTAGATAGGTACTAATATATTCATACTGATTTAAGATATTCTTTTGTTATGTGTTTATTTGTATTTGTCGTATTTGATATTTACATAGGTATGTACAGGGTGTTTCTTAAGTACGTGTAGAAAATCCAGGAGCGTGTTGGTGACGTCATAATAAGAAGAACAGTTCGTATAAATATATGTCCGAAAGTTATTCGTTTCTGAGATACAGAGTGTCCAAGTTGAATGCTTATTTTTGTTATTTGTTAATAAATTTCGAAATAATTGTGATATCGGAATAAAATTTGGTATAAAGGGGTATTTTTCAATGACAATATCAAATTTTATGTTAGTTTGTCTCTTTCGCCACCTACATGTCTTTTGACTCTGAAAAGTTATAACTTTTTTGAGCGTACCTGTATAACGTTTCATTGTAAAAAAATAGGTTTCTAGAACACTTTTGTGTAAAAAATATATTCTTGGTAGAGGTCGCTGCGAGCAAGTGTTTTCTAGTTATTGGGATTCGAAATAATCGATGCATTTGAATTATTTCCATGTGGCTCGTATGTCGCCTCTAGTGAATATCAGAAAAGATACGTCAGTGTATTTTTAATCTTTCATTTAATGTTCTTCTTCATTTAACATTGGAATGTAGGCAAAATATGATTCTTACTTATTTGTACCTGCTTTTTTGAACTCTTCCAATGAGAATTCAACTTTGACACTCTGTATCTCAGAAACGGATAACTTTCGGACATATGTTTGTACGAACTTTTCTTTCTATTTAGACGTCAGCAACATGCTCCTGAATGTTCTACACTTACTTGAAAAACACCCTGTATATATATATATATATTTTCTCCATCTTGTAATAATATATGATATAATGTATGTAATCAGAAACCATCAATATATTTCTATTCTATTCTGAAACAATAAATGTAGTTATTTTCTATGAAGTTCTCCTTTTCTGGTTACCTATGTTTAGAGTCTACCATGATGGTGTAATTCAACCATTCAATCGGTTGAAAATTTTAAAAATTCAACAAATACCTAGAAAGTCAGACTCAATTTTAAGAACATAAAGAAATAAGGAAATTTGCGCTAAAACTTGTTTTCAGAATCCTGACAATTTATATCTAAGAAGTAAACACTGTCACTATCAATATCTGACGGGAGTGAAACTAACCACATCCACAAATAAACACTGAAAACATATATGTATTTCAAAAGGTGGATGAACTTTTTGAGGTTTGGGCCAAACAAAATTGATTGCCCTAATCAGAATACGCCTTCAGTGACGAGCGTAATTGTGTTCGTGAAATTTAAACAAAAGTTAATGAATAATTTGTTTCCACCACTAGAGAATCTACCGTTATTTACTTCCTTTCGAGGCGTGAAGTGTGTTTTTACTACCAAGGTAGTTTCATTTCATGAACCACTAGTCAATAAAGACTTAGCCACCTCTGTTATAATTAACCAGAATTCACTGTTCTATTGCGAGATTCATAGAAATGGCACTCGAAGTGAAATGAAGTGCTTTAATAGTGACAGTATGTTCATATTTCAGTTTCACAGAACTAAAATGGTTGGAATGTATTGCTAATGGTGAAAAAATATTATTATACACCTTGGTAGTAAAGAATATTATTCCTTTCGTTTGAAGCGTCTGGATATAATCTTGATCCGTGGGTAATACTGATATTCTTTACTATCTTGGTGTATAAATAACTATCGATCAAATCATATCAAATCAATATGTGATAATTATGTAATAGTTATACAAATTACAGGTTCATGAAGAAATAGGTATTTGTTTTACTAGAGCAGTCAATCTACTTTGCTTCCATGTAAAACATACTTTTTCTCCAAAATAGAACCTATTTCGTGTATTTTTTTATTGAAAACTCAATTTTGTATTCACCCAATGTCAGTGTCAATTTTGATAACCAATTTCATTGAAATTACTTGGAACGTGCATAGCAACAAACTATAACTATTTTCAACAAAATTGAATGACACAATGATGATTTATTACACCATACCAATAAGTATGTACGGTATAATAATTATTATGATGCCGATAGTTGCTAGGGTTGCAAAGATGGGTGGGAAACATTGAAAATCTATAGTAACATTCTTGTACATTGAAAATGAAAGAGAGGGTCGTCTAGGAAAAGAATAACACAATTAGTGAATAAAGAAGATGTAAATGTGGAAACACATGACAAGAAGAATTATGATAGGGCCAAGTTGTATTGTGCTAGCAGGAATTTATTTTAACATGTTCTTGTTTTGATTGTTTGAATATCAATTTCTTTGTTCTAGGCAAAACTGTAGGAAGCGAGGTAGGAAGGATCGAGTAACTTTCAACCATATTCCAAGTGCTGAGCATGAAAATATCAACAATATAATGAAACAGTTCATTGTTTTGATGAACGAATAAAAAGAAGCATTTCTACTCACACATTTGTTACATTTATTGCCCAAATTTCACAGAAACAAAAATTATAACATCTTCAAATTACGATATTGAAGTTTCTAACTAGCAGACATCGATTGCCCTGGTCGAAGTACCTACCGAAATATATTGCTAGGCCGTAGGAGGGGTGCTACAGGGGGTGAATTTTAGAAAAAAATCTCTCCTGAGTGATGATGCTGAAGTTTGTAGCAGAAATCGATTGACCTAGTCAAAGTAAACCTTGAGTGCCTACCGTAATATTTTGGCAGGCCGAAGGGGGGAGGTTACTACAGGAAGGGATCCGATCCCTCTGGTCGAAACATATCTTCATTGAGTAACTAAATATTTTGGCTCTGTAATGAAATAGCGCTGTACAAAATCGCGAGTAACGAAAGAGCGGTAACGAAACAACGCTGAACAGAATAGCATTGTGACAAAAAAGCGTGTAACAATTCAGAGCTGTAATAGAATAACGCGTTCAACGAGACAGCGCTTGTAATATAATAGCGCTGTAATAAATGAGCACTGAACAAAACAAATCATGGGCCATGTGTTGAAGAAAGAGAAGCATTAGTATCAAACAAAATGTAAAAGACATGGCGAAAACTAGTGACGAACGTCCGAGAAGTATTATTCAACAGTGCTCACAAAAAGTCAGCTCTACTCTACAAAATCATGACGCTGCGAGAATGATGGAACATCAGTTACAAATACTCCAGAAATAAAAATCAAGAGTTCAAAAAAACATTCAGAGGATATACATTCCTCCTTTACGACTCTGGAATTGATGATCAAAACCGATAATGATAATATTCGGTACATTCAACAATCTGATTTTATTATATGAATTTGGCGATTGGTGTGTAGACGGCACCTTCAATGTCGCTCCAAAATTGTTTTACCAAGTATACACCATTCATTGCTTAATAGAAATTAACGCAATTCCCATGATATATGCGTTACTGTGTAACAAAACTACAGATACATATGTAAGATTGTTTACCAAGATAAAAGAACTGGGAAAAGACTTCACTCTCACACCCTCTAGTATATTATCTGATTTTGAGCAAGCAACCCACCATGCGATAGGAGAGGTATTTCCAAGAGCAGAAGTTGTTGAATGCTTTCTTCATTTATCTCAAAATCTATGGAGTAAAATACAAAAGTCACCAGGTCTTGTTGTTCAGTATAAGGAGCAGGATGAAATAAGAAAGCATTGCAAGTTTTTGTTAGCTCTCGCCTTCGTGCCAGTGAGAGATGTACCGTTTGCGTTCGAAATTTTGAAAGAAGATGGTTTTTCAACAGTAATGGAAACCATTGTGAACTACTAGGAATCCACCTACATCGGAATAAGGATAGAAGGTATTCGTCCCGTTTTTCCCATTTCTGTTTGCAATATCTACTACTACAATCCCATCTTCCTAGGACAAATAATTCCTTGGCATAATGCTTTTCAGCAGACTGTATACTGTCACCGTCCGACAATGGCAAGGTTTTTAACGAAACTCAAGCATTAACAAGCCAGTAATGAAATAATATAACAAGATTCAGGACCGGATTCAGATCACCAAAATGTGCAAATAGCAAATATTACCATAAAAATCAGCGGCTTATAAGTATTTCCAAAGAATATTCATTGGCGACCGTCAAAAACTATTTATGTTTTATTGCAAAATAATCTGTCATTATGATAATATTTTCAAGACTATTGGAAATGTGTTGTTGTTCAGTAGTAAATGTCCACTGTTTGGCCAAATTTCTGATTATTTTATGAAATCAAGATCGAGATCAAAAGTGAGGGTGGAGTATGAAATTCCTTAAAAGAGTGGTATTTTGTTACCACTGTATTGTTTTTTCAGCACAGCATCGTTATGTTTCATGTGATGTTCCATTACAGGGCTGAATTGTTACACGCTCTCTTGTCACAGCGCTGTTTCGTTACCGGGCTTTTGTTACTCGCGATTTTGTACAGCGCTTTTTCATTATAGCGCTCTGTTATCACATGCCATTTTGTTACATGCGTTGTTTTGTTACAACGCTCTTTAGTCATAAGCACTTTTGTTACGCGTTCTTTTGTAACAGCGCTCTTTTGTTACACTCTGATTTGTGCAGAGCTATTTTGTACAGCGCTATTTCATTACATTATTTCACCTAATCAGATGATTTCAAAATTATAATGTATTTATTCAATTTATTCATATATGGTGGTGTCGAGATTGTTAATAAAGTAAAACGTGCTCGTGATTGAAAATAGTTATTTGTTTTCACGCAAACTCCAAATGGTCCATTA